CATGTGTCTTGTCAGTAGAGCATCGTCTCAGGGAGTGAGCAGAGAGAGAGAGTCTCTCCCGCCTCCAAGGAAGAGATACCGGAGTTCCCAGAATTCTCAGGAGAAAGCCATTCCCACACAGAGGCCTCATTGGCTATGATCCAATTGACAGACTAGACTCCACCCCTTTGCTCTTAATCCTCTCAAGTCCCAAATTGACACCAGATTATGTAATACCACAGTGGTGGCAACAACAGGCTTCAATATAGGAACAATTGTGAGGCAGATACATGATGGAACAGGGCTTCATTCTGTGGTACACAGGGACACTATGAATCAGAGCCAGTTCAATGGCACCTAACAACAACAACAACAACAACAACAACGATTGAGATGATTCCCATTCACAGTGACCCCAGAGGTTAGAATGGAACTGCCCCTTTTGTGTTTCTGAGACAGTAAATCTTCACGGGCGTAGAAAGCGACTGGCGGGTGGACATACGAGTGGCAAAACGTCCAGCCTCGCAGCAACACAAGAAGCCAACACAGCGTAGTACTACAGACTGGGTGGTGCAGCCAGTGATGTATGGGGTGGGAATTCCTTCAACAAAGAGTTATTGAGCACTCCCTCGGCACGGTAATAGTGGCTCAGTGGTAGACTTTTCACCTTCCACGTGGGAGAGCCAGGTTCAAATCCTGGCCAGTGCAGGTCCTGCACAGACAGCCTCCTCAGTCAGTAGAGGCTTGTGTGTTGCCATGACATTGAACAGGTTTCAACAGACATTCCAGACTAAGACTAGGAAGAAATGCTTGGTGATTGACGCTGAGAAATCAGTTCTTGCAGACCTTATGCATCACAATGGTGTCCCCCACAACCCACCGTGGGGATGGTGCAGGACCAGGCAGCATTGTGTTCTGTCGTCATGGGGTCCCCGCGACAAGGCACATCTTTGACAGCCGCCAACAACAGTGTGCTGTTGTTGAGGTGGCGGGGTTCAGGTTGGGCTAGGAAACGGCTCTTGGGGCCACATGGCTCCTGGTGGGAAAGAGCACACACAAGCCCCAGCCTTGGTTCCCTGCCAGAAGCTGACATCACTCTCTGGGCTGCAGCAAGGGCCGGGCAGGACTGGCAGGCTATGGAAGAGACCTCTGCAGGGCATGTACCCAGCCAGCTTGTCCCACTGCTCTCCTGCCCTGAGAAACTGAGGCACACCTACAGCAGAGGTCCCCAGACTGGACGGAGCCTGGAGCAAGAGAGGCCTGGAGCCACCTCTCAAGGGGAAGAGGGTTCTGGATCCTCATCCTCCATCCTGCTGTGGTCCAGGAGTGTCATCAGGACTACAGGATAGAGGCCGGGACAGTCCCTCACATCTAATCACCCAAGAGCCACCCCGTCTACGGCTCCCGCTTCCTGGAGTTGGCCACAGAGTGTTTTGTGTTTGCTTGTTTGCTGTAGTCTGACATGCCACACCTACACCGTGAGGAGTATTCCTTCATCTGACAAGCTGACAGGCCCACTCATCCCAGGAAGCCTAGGCCAAGTTTCAGGTTCTGCCGGCTCAGCCCAAGCCCTTCCTCTACCTGGAACGTGCTCCCCCAGCTCGGCAATTACCCAGTTTCCCCTCCTCATTCAGCCCCAGGGCAAATCCAACCTTCCATGAAGCCTCACCTTGTGCCTGCCGCCTATGATCGCATGTCTCAGTGCTTGTCCTGTGTGCCCTTGACACATCCCAGCCACCTTGTGATAGAGCTGTTACTGCCAGCGTGATACGCGTTAACTCCTACGCTGCTAACTTTTCACCCGTACCTGTTGCCCGATGGGTCCCCTCTAGTGTCTTCTACTGCCATTAAATGATGGTGAGGTACCTGTCAGCATGTGCCTGGCCCAGGGATGAAGTCATGCTTGGATGAATGAGCAAAGTAATTGACCCTCCAGTAACTCTTGTTCTAAAGGGCTCGCATGAAGACAGGTTAAGGGGAACAAAGGGGAGCAAGTGGGTCCCCCGTGAACAGACAACCTGATAGGCAAGGTAAGCACAGGTAGAGGCAAGCAAGGTAATCTGCAGGGAGCAATGTCCTTGCCGCCTGTTTCTTCAGTCCCCAGAATCTCGCGGCCATTGAGTGGATTCTGACTCACAGTGGCCCTGGATCGGGTTTCTGCGACGGTCAACACAACCGTGAGTCTCTCTCGTCTTTCTCTCATGGGGTGGCTGGTGGGTTTGAACAGACAGCCTTGCTGGTAGCAGCCTATTTCCTACTTGGGCCAAAGTCGGGCACGAAGCAGATTTGACTGCGAGGCCACGCAGGTGCTGCTGCGTCGTTTCGTCGACCATGACGGGGTTGACACCTGTCT